CTGCAAGAAACGCGCGTGGTCAATCCACCCGAGGCTCCTGTTCATGCTCGGCCTCACGGGATTTTTTCGTTCTAACTCCGCCAAGGCTGGTGGGAGTGCCCTTGAAGAATGCTTGCGCAAGCGACGTAAGGTTCTCCACGAGCTAGCTCTTTTCTTCTCCTGAACTTTGGGCTTCCCTGAGGGCTCGCTGAACCCCGGACCAGTTGGACGCGTTGGCAGCGGCCAGGGCCCTGAGGAGCGACAGCTGGCCAGTAGCCAGTACCACTTTGCGGCGGCGTGGGGCAGGTTCCTCCGTCTCGTCGGGCTCGATTTCCTTCTTGGTCCCGACGCCTTCCTCTTGCTTGGAGGAGCTGGACGCAGCTTCGCCCGGCAAGGCGGTGGTCACCTGAATTTCGGCCGGTCTTCATCTTCCAGCGACAGCTTGCCCCCTTCCTCAACCTTCGGTCCCCAGATTGCCTGGGTGTCACCTTCGCCGGGCGCGGAACGCGCCACGGCAGGCGTCGAGGCGCTCCCTCCTTGCGGTGCCTCGTTCGCTCCTGCAAGGGTCTCCTCCTCATCTTTGGGGGTGTCGTACTTAACGGCCACCTGGTCTCCAGGCGCAGCCTGCTCCGATGCTGGTGCTGCTTCCGTGGTGGATTCCGGAACAGTCGGGCTTTGGCAATCAACTCCATTTCCTCGTCCCCCAGCTCCGGCTCTTGGTGTCCAGGGGTTTCTGCTGTGCCGCCGGCCGGGCCCAGGGCCCTTGTTCTCCTCCCTGTGCGGGAGTGCCAACGAACTTGGGCATACCGGGCGGCTTCTCTCGCAAGGACAAACACGGAGGTTTCGATGTCCGATCTCCACCTCCCGTGTTTGGAGCCGCAGGAGAGGAGGTGTATTGCCTCCGCGCGTGCAATCCTTCTTTGAGGATGTTGTTGCTGTGTCGCGCGTAAGATCCATGCACTAGCACCTCTGGGATCTCCTGCAAGGGTAGCTCTCGGCCAGGCCCCACAACTCCTGCCACGGTGTGGCCTGAGACGGCCGCAACCCACACGTCTTCTCCCTCTTGAGAAAGAATTAAACGACCTTTCTCGTCTCGCCCAATGATCTGGGCTGCATCTTCCGCGGATATGGCCCCGACACAGGCATTGAGGTCCCTCAACGAGACCCATCCGTCTTCGCGGATTGGGAGGCCCAAGAGGGAAGCCTCATGTCTGAGGATCTTTACGAGCCTCCTCCGGTCGGCGTCGCTCCGGGCTCGAAACGAGCCACGGAGCCGCTCCGCCTTCTCTTGGTCCCTGCGCCCTTTCTGGGCTCCTTTCCCTTTCGGATTGCCCTTGCCGCCCATCCCGGAGCACCGGGTCGAGCTTCTCTCCAAGCCACCGGCATACCAGGGCTTCCGCGTCGTCTTCCCACGGGAGCTCACAAGCTCCGGCCTTGCCTTCACAGGGAGCGCACCGCCCCCTCCGGAGCTGAAACGGCTGCGGTCAGTCGACGTGTCAGGGGGGAGGGAACCTAGCAATCAGTGCTTGTGGTGAGGACACAGGTGGCGGAGGGGCCTCCACCTGCCCAAACCAGGACTGTGGTTTGAGGGCGGTGTACTTATTACACTTACAAGTAACTTGTATTGAACTTAGCACATGAACTTTTAAGTGACTTACAAGTCCGATACAAGTCCACCGTAAGTCCAGTGACCGTCCAAACATTTATGTTTTTTCATTTAAGTTACTTAGCACCAAAAGCTATAGCAAAGGACACAAACTCAGCAGTTTTTCTCCCAGCTTAGGGCAAGTCTTCGTCTCCTGTCTCCACGCGGTGTCTGCCGACCAGCCACGTGCCACCCAAACACTCAGTCGCCAACTTCAGCAATGGACCACTGACGGTTTTCCAGTCCACGTGCTGGCCAGTGGGCTTGTCCGTCGCGGTTTGAAAGAACTCAAGCTGCAGGTCCGGAGACAAGGTCTTGACCTTGTCCAAGCTGCCCAAGTTCCGCTGCACCGCTTTCTGCAGAGACTCGCAGTCTTTGCAAAGAAACCTTTTTCCGTGCACTCGGCCTGCAGCCTTGACTTGGCGGCAGAGAGCACACTCTGGGCCCACAGAGGGCTCTCTGCAAGCGAGAGCACCAGAGCCATGGCAGCGGACCGACTGGAGAGGCTTAAGGGAGGACGAGCTGGGAGCCGAAAACAAGAGGGCAAAGGAAGCATCTTTGCATTTCCTACGACGTGTGAGAGGAGAAGCAAGACGCGACTTTACGAAATCCAGGCATGCAGCCCAAAGCCCCGCGGACACCCCGCGGACACGGTCTTTTCCCGCGGACACTACCTGATCCCTGTTATCTCATAGATCCTTATATAAACTATGAGTGCGCGGACACCCCGCGGACACGGCCGCATGTATCATGACGTCCGACCGCGGAGATTCACCGCGGACATACGCGGACACCCCGCGGACATGGTGAAAGTGCTGCGGGCACAGTTCCTCGACTTAGCATCGCAAAACTGCGGAGCTTTTGGATCCACCGCTCCCAAAGGGAGAGCCGAGCGGAGTGCGAGTCCTGCTCCGCTTGCAGAAGCTGCACCTGAAGGTGCGTGTGCCGAACGTTTGCATGCGGCACGCACCTCCTGAGCTGCAAACAGTTCGAACGCATTGATAAATACGTTCTATCCTCTGTGCGGCACCATGGCCGTTAGCACGGCCCATGCTCACAGCATGCTCTATACAGAAAAGCCAGCCGTCTTTCCTCAACACTGGCAGTGGGCTCGGTCAACACAGCCAGCAGCTGCGGAGACACGAACGATAGCATGCCGGTGTAATCCTGCATCGGTCGGCGTGCGACCCGGGGCTGCCACGGGATTCGCGGCGGCAGCTATGCCACCTATGCCAGCGACAACGCGTGTATGTATACTTAGACGGTTCCGCTGCTCCGAAGGAAATGATTTGAGCCAAAACACAGCAATGTTCAACGGCAAACGCAATATGCAGGAAAGCGGTTTGGTTGGCAGTATATAGCCCCCCAAAACACGATAAATTCATTAAAAAATAAATTCAATATAAGTCCGAGCTAAGTTCCAGCTCTCGTACTTAGCTTGCACTTATAACTTACGGCTAAGTCCAACACAAGTCTATAAATCTCGCAGAACTTATAAATCACTTATAACTAGGATATCCTACTTATGACTCAGATGTAAATTATTCACAACCTGGATATAGTGAAACCACCGTCCCGGAAAGGAATAGCCGCCGCGACCAGCGGTGCCAGCGGAAATGCAACTGACAGTGGCAACGAGGACGCTACTCTGTGTGTCATGATGCTGGCGGCGGTGGCGCAATCAGTGTGCATGCGAGGGGTTTAGCCGTCGCGACGTTTGTGCCTGCGGCGCCTGTCAGGTTGATGAGTTCACTGCTTTCGAGGATGAATGCTGCGACTTCAACCTGGTCGAGGTGGTGCGCAGTGAGCAGCTTAGGGTTTGCTCCCCAAACGGGCCCCCCCAAGGGCTCGAAACAAGATCCGCTTCAGGACCAACATGCAGTTGTGACGGGCCTCCCACTGAGCTCGAAAGAAGACCCGCTGAAGGGCAAAGACCTCACCCTGTGAGTTCCCTTGCTTCTGCCCAATTTCCTAGATGGACGGCTCCCCGCGGCGGTGGCGCCATCAGCGAAGGTGACGCGGCGGCTGCAGCAATCAGTGCTTGTGGCGCGGCCAAAGGTGGCGATGGGGCCACCACCAGTGCGACAGGAGCGGCTGCTGCCGCCGACGGTGTTTGGGGCATCGCGGCTGAGGATGGCAATGAAGCCACTCGTACTGGCGAGGCTGCCGAGTGCTGTGACTCTGGCGGCGGTGGCGCAATCGGCGCAAATGAGGGCGCTGCTGCAAGCTTAGAGGGCGGCGGTGGTGCAATCAGTGCAAGTGAGGATGTAGCGAGAGATGGCGAGGGCACGATCTGTGCCTGTCTGGCTGTGAGTGTTACTACTGCCAGTGCTGGTGACTTGAAGGCCTTTGCGAAGCGAGACGCAGACACCACCTTTGTCGGCTACACGCTCGCTGCTAGGGCCGACGATTGCCGTGACTTCGACCTCGACGAGATCGTGCCGAGTGAGCTTCTTTGGTTTGGCTCCCCTGGCGGGCCCACCCAAGGGCTCGAAACAAGATCCGCTCAAGGACCAAGATGCAGTAGTGATGGGCCCGTCCCAGAGCTCGAAAGAAGACCCGCAGAAGGGCAAAGATCTCACATACTACATTATTTTTTTTCGGGGGGTTCTCAGCTAGAAATAATACGACAATGCAAGACGACCTTAACAGGTTTTGTCGCTGCTTTTTCTCAAGTGAACAAACTAGAGTTTCACCCAATGAATGCTGTGATCGAAATCCCAAACGACTTGTGCAGGGGCCGGGTTGGGCAGGGCACACTAGCTGGAAAAGCACAGCTGCCCAAATGGGTTTTGCTGTATATGGGCGACGAAGTCCCTGCGGGGCATAAAGTCAAGCGGTCGCCAGGAGCCGAGATCCGGATGGCGTGCAAAATTAGTGCTGTGCAGAAATATCTGCCGGATCGCATGCACACGGGCCTCCTGACTCATGAGGTAGAGTTTCAAACTTTTACCGAAACCGGAACCACCTTTTCCACGTAGTGTTTTGCTTGTGCAAAGCTTACCAATGACCGTGTGCAAACCGAGGCTCAAGTGTGTGCGCAAAAGTCCGTTTGTTTTGTTATGGTAGCGGAGCCTACCGATCCATTCCTTTGAGTCTGGACGAAAGGCTTTCGCAGCGGACGGGACCCAGATCCGCGACCTGTTTGTGTAGGTGTGTGTGTGTGTAGTGTAGAGCCCAAAGTCTCGCTTGTGCCTGTGAGCCCCTGCGAGCAAACGTAGAAGTGTGTGAGGGTTGTGAAAACATAGTCCTCGACCGCGGCGTCTCCGCGGCTTGTGTGCCCGCTACTTGCGGCCAGAACTTGAGTCTCTTTTACAACCGCTGCTGTGTGGCGGCGAGCGTGGAGTGAAGTCTCTTGAGCCTTGAGCCCTTCGAGATGAGTGCCCCACCAGATGGAACTCCAGCTCCCCCGCATCCTGGTGATGCACCACAGGGAGCGGCCCAGCAAGTGCCGCAAGGTACTTTGGATCAGAATGTTGTGTTGGCAAGGCTCTCTGAGGCCTTAGCTCAGCTAGCTGTTGCTAGCACGGCTCAAGCTTCAGCAGCTTCGGGTGGTCAGCAAGAATGGCGCGAAACCAAGTATGTGAAATCACCGGAAGTGTTCAATCCAAAGTCTGTTGAAGAGGAGATTGCAGCATGGCCCGAATGGGCCTTTGCCTTCAAGAATTTCATGGCAGTCCAGGATGACGGTTACCGGTCTGATTTTGCCAAAGCGGAGAGTGCCACAGAATTTCTAGCTTTCGAAGATTACGGCCCAGCACTCAAAGCACCATCGCTCAGATTGTATTCGATTTTGGCATCATACCTCAAAGGGCGAGCTTTAAAGATCCTTCGCGCAGATCCGAAAGGTGATGGTTTTCGAGTTTGGCGTCAGCTTAAAGAAGAGTTACAGCCCACTTCGCGACCTCGTGTGCTAGCTCTTGCCCAAGCTCTCACTAGGTTTCCTCCTTTGAAGGAGGGGGCCTCTGTCCTTGAGTATACGTTGGCTTATGAACGGCTCATCACCGAGTACGAGAAACTATCTCCTTCTACTTACCCAGAAGACCTCAAGATCTCCACTCTTATGTCAGGGTTGCCGCAGGACATCAAGAGGTATTTACAGCTACAGATCGACGATACCACTACGTACCATGGTCTTCGTAGCACTCTTCTTCAAGTTGAACGTACGGCGGCTACATGGTCTACGGAGCACGTCCTCAAAGCCATAGGTGTGGATAAAGATTCCTCGCTGTATCAAGGAAATGGGCCAGCGCCCATGGACGTGGATCACGTCGCCGAGAAGGGCGAGAAGGGCAAGGGAGCTTGGAAGGGCAAGAGCGCTAAGGGTGGGTTCGGAAAGGGCAAAGGCAAGAAGGGCAAGTCTGCAAAGGGCTATGGTGGTCACAAAAGTTTTGATGCTTCCAAGGGGTACAAGGGCTACGGCTATGCCAAGGGCAAGGCTTTTGGCGCAAAGGGAAAGGACAAAGGCAAGAAGTCGAGCGGGAAGAGCTACAGTGGAGCAGGTGGTAAAGGTAAAGGTCCTTGCTTTATTTGTGATCGCATGGGCCATCGAGCTGCAGAGTGTCCTTTGCGAGCGCGTGTTCAACAAGTAGCTGCAGAAGATGACAACATGTCGGTGAGTACCCGTGCGACCTCTGCCCCTACTACCACTACGCAGTCTACCTCAAGTAGTTCCCGAACTTCCCAGCCATCTCAGGTTCGTCGTCTGGAGCTCATCAACAACGTGGTGCTCGAGGAGATCTTCGATGAAGATGAGGCCGGTGAGGTTGGCGAGCAACTCTGGGAGAGCCATGTTCATGATCTGTCGTGGGATGTTGAAGAAGTTTGGCATGATGAAGAATTTTGGGGTGAAGACTGGCATGAAGCAGAGGGTTTGAGTGATTACGTCCGGATGGTTGCTGAGATTGTGGAGCCTGCAGAACATGACATGCTAGATGACAGTCAGTCGGAGTGCGGTAGCAGTTGCTCGTTGCCTTCTACTTCCACTCTGCATTTCTCGCTGTGCTCGGAAGATGATTGTGATGCAGAGTGTGACGCAGAGAGTGGGAGTGAGAGTTCGTGGACGGTGTTGCAGCAAGCGCGTGAAGCCGAAGAAGCCGAGCTATGTGTTCGGGCGATAGCAGAGGGCCATGAAGTGATCCTCGACTCAGGTGCTGATGTGACGGTGTTGCCGATGCACATCTTCGGCGAAGTTGGCTGCGAGGGCAAGGCGAACGTCGCCTTGGTGGATGCACAAGGCTCGCGCATCCCACTTTTAAGTTGAGGGTTGCGACGGCCAAGAGATTGTGTTCCGGGATAAAGCAGTGCTGGCACGAGTCAAGCAACCACTCTTGTGTGCGGGAAAGATGTTCAAAGATGGATGGTTGCCACGTCCTGAAGCCGAGCAGCTAGTGATGAAGAAAGGCTCTTAAGCCTTCCCGGTGCATTGGGCCAGGAATTCTTTGGCTGCTACAATGAAAATATTCAGGACGGAAGAAGGACAGGTAAGAGTGGTCGTTGAGCTGGGTGAGTCTTTCCTGGCTACTTTGAAGCGCCAGGGCTGGCAATTGAATGAAGACGGCCAGTCAACCCATGTGAGCGAGAGTGCCAGGACTACTGTTGATCCCAGTGGTTTGTATGATCCAGACGTTTTGCCACATCGTACCACTTTAGTGCAGAAGAGCGGTCGCAGATATTCCATATTTGAGTGTGGTGATTGTTGGGAGCCAGAGCCTGTGAAAGTGATCGGAGACAGCCCCAGCCGAGTGATCACCACCCTCACCGCACTCCCGGTCGACCCCGACTCGCTAGGGAAGGTAGTTGCTGAAGATGTTGCTGCTGTTCCCAGGTTTCCTCGACCTCGACAAGTTCTCGATGAAGCTGGACAGTCTGGCGAAGCAGTTCCTGGTGTGGTGGTGGCTGAACCTCAGCAGGAACAGAGAGAGCCGGTTTTGGGTCCAGAGTTGCGTGAGGTTCCGGATGTTGGAGAAGTTGTGCATGTTGGTGACAAAACGTTCCGTGAAGCCTCTAGCTTGAAAGACCTTAGATGGGCGTGCAAGTTTCTTCAAATTCCTCAGTCCGGGAAGAAAGCCGTGTTGTGGGATCGCCTGAAGAAGGAGGTTGCCATGAGTCAGTTGAAAGTGGCAGTGAAGGCGAGCGATGCAGTGATTGAAGCATACACACCGGATGTACGCCAAGGGCCCCTGCCAGTGAAACCCGATGCTCAGACAGTGATGCTACATGAGCTAACCCATATTCCTCGAATGGACTGGTGCGAGAGTTGCCAGGCAGCACGTTCCAAGGAAGATGATCATCCTGTTGCCGAGCCCAAACGTCAGGTCAACGTGGTGTCCATGGATTTCATGTTCAATAGGACTGGTGACTCAGCTCCCCAGGAAGAACACCCTTTGACTACGCAGCTGGTTGCTGTGTGCCATGCGACCAAGTATGTGATCTGTGTTCCTCTTGAGTCGAAGTCACCGGATGCCGCGAAACATGCAGTAGAAGAGGTAGTGAAGATGACTTCGGCATTGGGGTATGCTGAGTTGGTGCTGCGAGCAGACAGTGAACCGGCGATGAAGAAGATGTGTCAGCTGATTGCTCTTGCTCGCACGAGGTTAGGCTTCAAGACTGAGATTGAGGAGGCAGTCCCTGATTCGACCGAGCACCAGGGAGTCCGGGCAGAACGGTATGTTGACCTGATTCGGCGCTTAGGGCTGACGTTGCTACATACAGTGACTGCGAATACTCAGCAAGCTGTTCGTTCCTCACACCCTTTGTACTCTTGGTGTTTTCGACATGCGGCTTTCCTACTGACGCGGTACAAAGTTCATGCTGAAGGGTGCACATCTTTTGAATCGTGCATGGGCGAAAGTACGACTCAAAGATTTGCGCTTTTGGGTCGACCGTTTTCTGCCAGTTTGTGCCCAAGAAGAAAGTCAAAGGGGTGGTTTGGGAGAAAGCAGTTTACCTGGGCAAGTCGTCAATAGGCGACCTGAACATCGTGGCCAATGCGAGTGGTGTGCACTATGCCCGAACCATCCGAAGAGCAGCCCAGGTTTACCAAGCGGAGATGATCGTGGCCATGAAGGGCGTCCCCTGGAATCCTACGCTGGATGTGGTGGCTGCCAGGACAAAGAAAGGTGGGCTAGGACGCGTGCCGTTGCTAGCTCCTCCTGCTGTCGGTGAAGTTCCCTCTCCTATGGAAGTGGCCTCTAGTGATCCCCCAACTACTCCTCAAGCTTCGCAGTCGGCAGAGTCAAGCCTTTTGGATGGTATGCAAGGTCAGGGATCCAGCTCAGGGTCTTCAGAGTTGATTCCGGCGGCGATGCAAGTAGACCAAGTGACCAGAGATGAGAGCGAAGAGAGCCAGTCGTTTGTCCTACGGGTACTTGATCCTCAGCAGCCTCATGGTCACGAAGAGGATGCTCGCACTTCCTTAAGCGCAAGTTTGAATCCATCGAAAAGGGCCTCGTCATCACCCAGGATGTGAAGTACGCAGAGCGGTTGGTAGGCCTCTTGGAGTTAGAGAAGGCGAATGTGAAGAGGACTCCGATGCCCCAACAAGTCCCAGAGCCCGGTGTGGGTGAACGTTTGGATGCTGAAATGCATGCTCTCTACCGCAAGTGCATAGGTTTGCTCTTGTACATGAGTAGTGAACGCCCAGACTCGCAGTATGGAGTGAAGGTCCTTTCGTCTCGGTGCAGTGACCCCACGCAAACCGATTTCAACTTGCTGAGGCACTTGGTAAAGTATGTGAAGTTGCACCCTGTAGTTCCAGCGATGCAATCCCGGACGAACGGTGTTTCAGAAGTGGGAAGGTCGAGATTGTGAACCTGAAGATTGGGACCCCAAGAAGTACCCGTTTGGGCTAGACCACGTAGTGGAGGTCGTGACCGACGCTGACTGGGGTAGTAAAACCTTCCCGGAGAGACGCTCAATCTCGGCATATGTGATCCTGATCAATGGCAATGTATGTCATTGCGGAAACAAGGTACAGAAAACCATCAGCCTGTCGTCGGCAGAGAGCGAGCTCATGGCATCGCTCCTTGGCGTAACAGAGGCTATGTTTGTGGCCGAGATGGTGCGTTTCATATGTGGTCCGAACTCTCGTGTGAAACTTGTCCACTACGTGGACAACTCAGCAGCTCGGTCAATCATTCAGAAGCAAGGCCTGCAGAGAACGCGACATGTAAGTTTGGCTTGGCTGTGGATTCAGCGATCTCATCATGAAGGAGTGTTCGTAACCAAGCCCATTTCTACGAGGGACGCTCCAGCTGATCTTCAAACCAAATCCCACGGTAGGAACAGGCTAAAGTATTTGATGAGCTTGATCGGCATGAGCTTGGATGAAGATGATGATGCAGGTCATGTTCGGGTTCAGCGTGTGAGAGAAAGAGCGACTACCGTTCAGGGTTCCAGCATCGCGGCAGTGATGAGGGCATTGGCCGTTATTCTTGAAGGAGGTGAAGCCCTTAGCTTTGACCAGGAGCGCGACTTTAGGGGCGTGCATGTTCCCAGCATTGTTGTCGTCATGATCGTGTTGGGCATGATTGGAACGTGGAGTGTAGCGTCCGCCTTTGTCGAAGAAAGTGGAACCTGGACAATGTGGTTGATGCTGTTTGTCTTGGTGGCTTCCGTTGGGGCCACAGAGATCGTAGCAGATGATACGGATGATGGTGCAGCGAACTTCCTTCAACGACTTTGTGATCACAGTGGTTTGGCGGCGCTGGTGATTGCCTTGTGCATGCTTGTGGTGGTGATCTACATGCCCCCGCGACGGTGGAATCGAGATCGAGGGCGCGGCTCAGCACAACAACAACCTTGTGAACCGCGGGATGGTTGCATGACTTACGACGATTACATCCATGAAAACCTCTTTGATACTTGGGATGAAGTGTTTCCGCGAAGTGATGATGATGAAGGAGGTGCCGCAGAAGCTTATGTCCAGAGCTATGTGCATGAGGGTGACGATGGTGAAGTAGAGGAGGCGGCTCAGGGAGAGATTCAGGGTTACGTTCACCATGATCGTGGCGGTGAACCCCAAAACTTTGACGTAGAGAACCAAGATCAAGATCAGATGCCGCACGAGCCGCACGCAGACATGGTGTACATCGTTGGTGAGGCTAAGCGTAAGAAAGGGTTCCACAAGAGGAGTTGCGGTATGGTTCAGCGTTGGCTTGCTGATCTACCGGAAAATGTTTCGCAAATCAGTCGAGCCGAAGCCCAGCGAAAAGAACTTCGTCCTTGTAGGCAGTGCCGACCGTGAAGCGCTGAGACTGGGCAGTGAGCCACGCTTTTGGTTACTCAGCCTGTAAGTGTTGAGTTTTCTCCGTTGGCGATGTAAGGCTGTAGTGTCCGATACAGCAATCGCGTCAGTGCTTGTAGTTTGTATAGAGCCTGAGGTAAGCGAACGCCATGCTTTGTATCAAGTTGTGAGCTTCTAGTGTTGATCAAGAAAGGCCCCGAGGATGGCATGCTCACACATACGCTGTTGCATAATCCTGTATATGGTGCATGGGACTAGAACAAAACTTTTCCTCCGCAAGAAGAGGCCCATCACCAGTGTTTAAAGCAGTGGCATGTACAGTGTAACCGAAGTGAACTTCAGTGCCCGAAGGGCGGTAGACGAAACGTCTGCAAAAGCACTTTCTTTGTCCAGTTTGAGTGTGAACAGCCCACTTTGGAGGTGCGCTGTTCAAGGGGGGTTTCAAGCTTTTACCGAAACCGGAACCACCTTTTCCACGTAGTGTTTTGCTTGTGCAAGCTTACCAAAGACCGTGTGCAAACCGAGACTCAAGTGTGTGCGCAAAAGTCCGTTTGTTTTGTTATAGAGGCTTGGAACGAGCTGGTGCAAGGCATGCGCAAACGGTCGAGCGGCCATGCCTCATCCACTCACCACGGGGGGGAATTCTGTGAATGGGTAGTGGAAACACAGTTCACACTCAGCCAGCCCATTTCGGTGACTCGCTTGCAGTTTCCGGGCAAGCAGCTCCAGAGGGTCTGTACAGCAACTCCGGAGATTGTTCAAACATGCAAGCAGTCAGGTGGCCGCTGCAGCGGCACTTTGAACAGAAATGCTGCAGGCCCAGGTGCAGCAGGTGCGGCGGCGGCAGCTGATGGAGGCCGTCTTGTGGATGCATCTTTTGATAGGCCATGGCTTATCCGAGTGCCTCGAAGTTTGCATTTCTTGTCGGTGAATCCTGATGGTGATGCAAACAGAAGTTTCTGCGCACCCGTCTCTCTGGCGAGTTCCTTGCACTTGCCAGTGGGGGAGCCACCAAGTGCTCTGGCTGCGCAGGTTCAGCCTGTGAAGGATAAGCTTAGCCCATCGCAACAGCTGAGTTTGCTCCGCCTGAACTTTTCGTTGCAATTTGCTGCAGATATGAGAACGGTGATACAATGTGCCGTTCAGTTCACGAACCCTTTTCTGGGGTCAGTGGACGAGGGTATGCTTCAGCGAGCTTTGGGCAGCCTCCCCCACTTTGCGACAGTGCGAAAGTGGATGCTCAAGCTGGATTTGCTGAGCATGCATTTCCGAAGAAGGCTCATGCGTAACGAAGTTGCAGGGGACCAGGTGCGAGTGGCTCGTTACCTGTCGATGGATGCCTCGCCCCAAGCAGGTTACGAATATTTGGCAACCACAGAGGAGACAATTCGAAGGTGTGTCCCTGTGCAGGCTTCTGCGTGCCCTTGGAAGGGTTTCACCCATGAGTTCAGGACTGGTGATCACGACTTTAGGTCGAGGCGAGACACGTGCCTTTCTCAAGGCTTGCCGCCTGCGGCATGCAATCATACTTGAGAACGGTCCTGACTACGAGGACACATATCGTGCCCAGGTCAAAGGCTGGGTTTCGGATCAAGGGACGGAAAGAAAGGTACCCCAGATGCCTGTGTCAGGAGATCCTGCAGAGCTACAGGCTTTGGCGGCACTTGTTGCTGCTGAAGGCGACCCGGATGTTGAGCATCTGGTGCGGGGCACCTCAAAAGCATTGCTCTGGAACAGCTTTAGGCATTTGGGCTTGATGCACGTCATGTTTAATTCCTTGGAGGAGTCATGCAAAGGGTGTCCTCGCTGGGATTCTTTCGAGAAACAGTTGTCTGCCATCTCCAAACTGTTGCGTGGCAGATCTTTCAGGGACATTGTGGTGCATCGGATGATGGCTACGGCCACAGCACAGGAGAAGAGCACTGTGCAGGCATATCACGGGGAGCTTTTGTCTTGGAGATGGGAGTCTCTTTACGAAACCTTGAAACATTATGTGCATGTACGTCCAATTCTGATGAATTATTGGGACCGGGAGTTGCTGAGTTCCGAAGCCCAACTCTGCGATGCTGTGGGGGAGGCCTTGACGGATCCCTTTCACTCAGCGTATGCAGAGTGGGCATTCATGTTTTCGGGTTTTGTTCAGCGATGGTCTCGCTGGATGGAAGGGTGCTTCTGCCATGAGAGTGAACTGAAGGAAGCAAAAACCCGGAAAGCCAGGCAAGCTATTTCATGTTGCTGGAAGGGAAAGCGAACAGCAGTGCTTGCAGCGGGCTATGGAGAGACCATCCTTGCTGAGGCCAGGGCATGCACCAGTCCCAGGTATGCTGAGGCAGTCTTGAGGTTGCCACGGGAAGTGGCGGCTCACTTTTGCATGCTTGAGAGGTATACACTTGAGGGAAGCAAAAAGATAGTCGCGGAGTGTTTCCGGGAGTATGACAGGTTGTGTGCTGTGGGCCGTGTTGATGCTTTGCTGCACGGCATTTTCCAGAGGCAAGGTGCAGCCGCGACAGGTGTGGCTGTGGGCTTTTGCGAATTCACCAAGCGGACCAGACGGTCGACAGCTGGAGGATTTCCCTTTGGCGTGGGCAGAAATTCAGGAACGAGCCTTGTGCTCTTGTGTGGCGCGAGCCACAGAGAAGCAACATGTCCTGATCAAAATCGGAGCCCGGAGAACACTTCGCTTCTCTGGGCCGGCCATGGCATGTGTCCGGGCACAGAACTGGCCAAAACAAAGACTGGATGTCGAGCTTTTGTCACATGTGCTTCCACAAACATCGTGCTGGCAGAAGACCTTTGCGTACAGATTGTCTCGTGTGTACGGGTACAATGAGGCGGACCACTTCATGGAGACAGGGGAGACGGAGGCCAGTGCTGAAGCGTTGGGAGATGCCACCGACAAGGCACTGAAATCCGCCGCAGCCCTGGTGAATGGAGAGGTCAAGCTCACTGCCCAAGGCCTCATGATCGTGGACTTTTTGAAAAGCCAGCTGCAGACAGGCTGTGTCTTTAGCGTTCCCGAGGCGCTCTTTGACACCTTGCAAGCCAAATCTGTGCCAGATGAGAGGCAGGACGAGGAAGATGCGGGGAAGCACACACTTCTGGACATGGCACAGGCTTTGATTCCGAAGGATGTGGTAGCTAGGAAGGCCGAAGACAATGTTTACAGCTATGTCGTGGATGCACGGCCCGAAAGGCGGCATCAGCAGCTAGGTGTCGGCAGTGTTAAGAACAGACATGTCCTTCAGTGCATCAGGTTTTTGCAGGTCAGCCTTGAAGACCTCGAACAGCCCCGTGTTTCGCACACCAGTGTCCAGAAACACGATCTGGATCTGAGTGCTGTGGCTACTCAGGCGGGTCTCGAGATGATGTCTTCGGCCTGTGTCGTTTGGCTGCCTCAATGTACATCATTGCAGGTCAAGCTACAGGCCGAGCTGTTAGACAGCTCCACAGGTGTGCAAGCAGCACCATTGCGACTGCCTGCTGTTGTCTCAGACGAGGACATGCTTTGCGACTTGGCCGAGGATGACAGGGAGCGGCAGGAACTGGAGCTTGTAGTTCCTGAAAACAAAGGGGTTGACATTTCTGCGACCATGGTGATGTCAGATCTTGAGCAAGCCTTGGTAGACACCTTGTTCCAACGAAGAGCGGTAGCAGATAATTTTGTTCCGGCATTAGGTCTTCCCTATTTTGGTACTGCGGCAGCACAATCGCTTTCAGAGAAAGGGATCCTGCAGGTCAGGGAGGACGATTTCGGAGAGTTGCAACTGTCACTGACGGAGAAGATGCAAGTCCCTTTGACGGATCCAGTGTCCTTGGCTGCCCACGAGCCACAGATGCAGAGCTCAGCTGGTAGAAACAAGCTCTCTTGGCTTAAACTGCTGCTGATGCAGGACTGGAAGCCTGGCCAGCCTAGGAAAAACCGTTTGAGTGGCGGCACAAAGATGAGGCTCGAGAGCTGCCAGGCAACATGCTGAGCAGACCCGACAATCACTTCAGAGCTCTTGCTTTTGAAGCAACAATCTTCGAGAAGCCCGGGAACCTGAGCAAAATCTCGCATTGTGGAAGCAGTGCGTATTACGAACTTCTGTTGACAAAGGAAGATTTGACGGGGATTGGGGAGTGGACACTGGAACAGACGATGAAGTTCGCTTGGCCCCGCAAGAGAAAGCAGGGCAGCGAGCCAAAGTCCCGTGTCGCCCGCCCCAGAGCATTGGAGCCGCCCATGCAATTGCAAATCGAGATGCCGGGTGAGAAGCCCGTGCAATCCCGAGTGCCTGGGCTTGAAGGGCTTACGGTTTATTTCGACAACTTTACACATCAGTCCGGGCGTCGTCGGGCTTTCATTGCCTGTGGGTGTGCTGCCCACAAAGGACAATGCCGTCGTTATGTTTTCGTGACTGATTACCCCTGTATCCAAGATTGTGTTGCTTGGTTGTTGACCTGGGCCTCTGCGGCACAGCGGTTTCGCACGACTGCGGAGCATGTCGGCCACAATCCCACTTCTGAAGCTGTTCGTAGCATGAAGCAGCGGCAGTCTCTGGGACTGTAGAGTTCGTGGAAGTCGGACATTGGTGCATTTGTCGGAAACAAACGTACACTCATGACATGTTTGTGCACAAAGCAAAACCCTACACTCATGACATGTTCCAGTGCGGCTGCATTGTTGTCCAGGTGAGCGAGCTGATTATTTCAAGTGTATTCAGTTTCGATTTTACTGCATGCACCTTGCGTCCGTAGCTGTTTGGCTCCGTGGCCGGAGGCCGGGCCGGGGGCTTGACGGGCTTGAAGGCCCGGGGCGGCGTTGCAGGCAGGTTGGGGTTTGCAAGGTTAAGGTTCTCGTTTTGGATGAAGGGTTTATGGGTTTGGGGCGAAGAAAAAAAAGCAGCTGCTTCATCCTCGGCAGGCGGTGGGTCGCTAGCCACTCGCAGTCAGTCTCAGCAAGAGTCTGACTATGCGGTGGCTGGGGCTTGCTAGCACCGAGGATCGCAGCTGTGTAGAGGCTTTGATACAGCAGTTGTTCCATCCTCGGCAGGCGGCGGGTCGCTAGCCACTTGCAGTCAGTCTCAGCAAGAGTCTGACTAAGCGGTGGCTGGGGCTTGCTGCTAGCACCGAGGATCGCAGCTGTGTCAAGGCTTTGATACAGCAGTTGTTCCATCCTCGGCAGGCGGTGGGTCGCTAGCCACTTGCAGTCTGTCTCTGCAAGAGTCTGACTATGCGGTGGCTGGGGCTTGCTAGCACCGAGGATCGCAGCTGTGTGTCAGCAGGGTCATGTGTTTCTGTTTCTAGGTTTGCGAGCTTCCTTGAGTTCCCTGCCAGGTGCCGGATGCCGGAATCGGAGGCAAAGAAGGACTCGCCGTCGCCGCCGGACTATGGCGGGCCAGAGCCAGCGGAGGCAGCAGCACAAGCAGCTGCAGAGAGGACAGAACAGCTGAAAGAAAAGCTGGCTGATCGGCAGCTGGAGGCCAGCCTTGAAGAAGAAAGGGAGGCCCGTGTGGACAGGGGTACGTCCCGTGAGAAGAAGGAGAAGCCACAAAAAGAGAAAAAAGACAAGAAGGATAAGAAAGAGAAGAAGGAGACAAGATCTGAAAAAGACAAGAAGGGCCGGGAAATGCCGGCTCCGGCAAGGGCCGCCGCGCCCGAAGCGAGCCGGAGCTGCTCAGGTGCAATGTCCGGTGTGTTGGTTGCACAAGCCCAAGAGCACGCTTCACTTGCACTTGCAGAATAGCACCAAGTGCTTGGAGTGGGCTGCGAAAGCAGCAGGTGTGGTGCTAGCGAGGCCGCACACGTGCAAGTGGTGCAGCAGAGCTTTCACCATGGCCCACGACCGCGACCAGCACGAATGGTCCTGCCCGAAGCAGAAGCCGCTCCGAGCTTGGAAGTGTAAGTGGTGCTCCAAGGAGTTCAAGGCCCTGCAGGACCGGGACAACCACCAATGGTCCTGCCACAAGCAGCCGCCACCGGAGCCATCCTCAGAGCCGCCAGGGCGGCCAGGGTACCAGGGCCAGTGGCAGTGGTGGTGGCAGTACTGGCCCGGGCCCGACTGGCAAGAAGATGAAGCCGGGGAGGAAGGCACAGCAGATGTCGGCGGAACCCCCACCACGGAGAAGATGCCAAAGGCAGCCGGGGCAGCGAAGGAACCCAGCCGCGGGACGGACCGAGGGTGAAGCACCGGGGCAGGGGCGGCGACCGGAAGACGGGCATCGATCTCAAGCCCAAGGTGAAGCTTCCCGGGATGCCAGGAGAGAGAGGCGGCTCGACAGCCGGCGCCGATCCCCAAGCCGCACGGCCGCTGCATCGGTGCGGTCACAGAAGCCACAGAGGGCGTCGGCTCCGGGGGCGACGGGCCTGGTTGAGAGTTAAAGGTTTAGGGTTAAGGGTTACAGGCGTACAGGGTCCAGAAGCCGTAAAACACAGCAGTCCTCCAGCCGCACGGGCTTCAGAGAGTGTGGGCAGCGACCTAAAGCCACAACGGCAGGCTTGACACACAGACCGCTGCTGCAAAAAAAGACGTCTCCGGGCAGTTGTTCGGTGTTTAGGCGGTTTAGGGTTGTGCTTGTTGTAATTTTGTTGTTCTCCGGGCAGTTGTTCGGTGTTTAGACGGTTTAGGGTTGTGCTTGTTGTAATTTTGTTGTTCTCCGGGCAGTGGTTCGGTGTTTAGGCGGTTTAGGGTTGTGCTTGTTGTAATTTTGTTGTTGTTTGCTTTCCGGTTCGTGTTTGGGCAGTCGCTCCCAGCGTCCGGCCGGACACGTTCCTGTCCGGCCGGACGTGTTTCCGGACCAACTCCCCTTCCGTTTAGGATCGTTTTCCGCTCCCGTGCTGTCGTCCCGCCACTGTCGTCCCGCCACTGCTGTCGTCCCGCCACTGTCGTCCCGCCACTGTCCCGACACTATCAAGCGCTGCTATACACTCATCGACAGGTCTATCTATGTGATGACGCGCGATCCTCAAGGCCACTGACGCATGCTCAAGTACTTCGCGAGGTCCTGGATACTTTCCTCATATGGGCAGTGAGAGCTGATGTAGCAGACATGCACTTGGTCCGTCGCCAG